TGTTACTGGGTATATGATACGCTGATGTACCCGTTTAAATTCATTTTGTACCTTATTCTGCAAAATACAACTGTGCACAGTACTCTGCAGTGTCTACAAATAATAATAATTAAATGTAATATGTGTGTATCATTATCCCTTATATAACAGCTGATATAACATTATTTATTATGCGATAGAGAATATAAATGATAGTAATATAGATATATATATATGTATTTCTGAATCCATGTATCCGTCTACAGCTGGTATAGCTGTACGATTTATATCAGCACCTATCTCGTGATTGGAGATTCATTAGTTGGATAATGTCACACGGCTGTTGTATGGTGGGTTGACGGGTAGAGGGTAGAGTATAGAGGGTAGCGGATAGCGGGTAGCGGGTATAGCGGGTAGAAGGTGACAGGTAGAGGCTGCTGATTGATGCCCAGACCATTCTCGCTGCGTTACCGGGGTTTAAATCTATGGGTGCTGTTTCCGAGTGAAAACCTACGCAGATCAAAGGCAATCATTTTCTGTTATACCGGCTAAAATCTCCCAGTATATCCTTCTACAGATAAAATTCTCAATCCATTCATTTGTAGTTATCATAAATCCACACTGATAAAAACATTAATTTGATTAAAAATATAAATTCTATTATATAGTATAGAACCTAGAACATGGATTTAAAGAGTTTCATTATCTTTAATCAATTATAATTTTTTAATGTATAAATTTTTCTCTTCAATCAAATTTATTTTTGCGGTTCTCAACAGTTATTGTTGTTTTAAAATTAAGAGAATTTTGTGAAGAATGCTGCTTTTGCGAAAAAAAAAAACAAAGCATAGAAATTTAGTAAATTTATCAAGTATGTTGGTTTTCAAAGTTAATAGAATTTACAAGCAGAAATTACTGAGGAATAACCGAGGAACTGAGAAATAGAAAAATATAAAGATAAAAATAATAAGTGAGCTACTGGATAAAGTGAGAAGAGATTATCAATTGGTGGATTACATTGGTAACATTGCTTTTGGATGTTTCACATGTTTCGTCAAACGGTATTTCAAGAGTTTCTCTGACGATCATGATTAAGCTCCAGCTTGGTGTTTCAAAAGCACCAGCTACTAATGTTCGGAACGCCCAAGGGAATTCAATTAAAATTTTCCGACCCATCATCCACATACATACACGCACACACATGAAAAGACCCCTAGCTTGAAAAGACACTATTTAACACTTATTTAACGTCTCGGAAAAGATAGCTATTATTCAAAATATCTACATTATTATAATATTAATTAATAAATAAATAAAAATAAGAAAAATAATAAGAAAGGATATTAATTCTTCAAGTTTGGTTATTGGGTCAAGGAGACAAGAGCAGGTCATTTGCTAGCGTACAGAGAGTCAGTCGATGCACGCGAATAGGACGATAGTGTGCTTCTACAAACCACGTCAGAGTGTCACATGAGGTTAAATGTCGTGATTCGCTTATGGGAAAAGAGAAGAAAAAAAAGAGCCTTATATAGGTATAACCTTCTAGGTTTCCCATACCACTACCGGAATTCGTCACTTTTCATGCTTTTCGGTTACAACTACATATACATAATACTATTAAGGAATCAATAAGGAATAAAGGAATAACCGAATAGAGTGTGACCACTATCATATCCACTTTATTGCATGGGATATTCCGTAAGCTAATTTCGGAAACAACGGTTGATCAACAAAGCTCCTTCTGTCCTCCTTAACCCCTTAGGGATTTAATGTCTATTGTCTATCTTCAATAAAATTCACTTTACTAATCTCATAAAATAAATACTATAAATAAAAGATAGGCCATTCAATAAAGATCCTTTAGTTAAAGTTGTTTTACCTAAATATTAATACTCATTAATATTCTAAACAAAGGGTTAATTACATGAACTTTTTAATAGATATTAAAAATTTTTAAAATAGGACTAACTGAAAAAGGTATTTAAAGTTTGTAGTAGTTTTTAGACTCTTGATTCATTGACACGATTAATCCTACAACGCCCAAGTGACTCTATTCTCTACGCATATATATATATATATATATATTTATACATAACACTTAATCCCTATCCGGGTTGAACAGACGTCTAGTGTGTGTATTTACAAAGTTTACATGAGTTAAAGACCAACTGAAAAGATGGACACTAACTCTTTATTACTTTACGCTAGTCTTTTCTGTTTTCTTTTTATTTATTTTTTATGTTTTATGTTTTATGTATATCACTTTTTCGGTTGTAAAACTAAATCTCTGTCATATTAAACGGTTTTATTGCGCGTAATTTTAAAATATAAATTTTAATCATCTAAAATATTGTATTTCATGAAAAAATAATTAACATCAGTATAATTTAACTAAATAAAATAATAAATAGTTTTTATTATTATTATTATTATTATTATTATTAATAAATTCACTACTATATTCAAACGTTGATATTAATTAAAACTTTAATAATAGCGTCATTGTCACGGTGGGTTGTTATCCCAGTCAATAAACTCAATTATTGATGCCATTGATAAATGTTTAATTGATTTGGCATATCGTAACCTCTCTCATTGTAAACAATAATAGTATTAATAATAATAATAATAATAATAATAATAATAATAATAATAATAATAATGAACGAGTTATTTGATGATGACGCAAAGTGCCTCTGAACATAATTATTATTATTATTATTATTATTATTTTTCTCGTATACACGTTTTTCATTTTTTTTTTTTTTCACTTTTTAGATACGTCTTAAAAACTATTATCCCGTCAGATACGAGAATAGAGACACCTTTGAGTTATGGCCTGTACGTGCGTGTTAAGCTTTTGAGGCTTCGTGATTACGGAACTCTTCTCGAGAACGGATAAACATGAGTCAAGGACCACAACTGAACCTAAATATTTTATTTTCAACTGTCTTAATATTTACCCATTTAAGATTTATTTTTTGTTAAACGATAGAATTAATTTTTCTATTGACAAAAAAAAAAGATAATAAGTCGATTGAATAAAAACAGAGAAGAATATGAGATTTTGAGCAGGCAATCGATAATCAATTATTTACATAATAATTTTATTATTCCCGATGAGTTTAAATTTTATGGATGGCCATTTTAACAGGATTGTTATGAATTATGTGTGTGATAACGTTATCGTCAGAGTGTGTATTATATGTGTAAGTTTATATTATAGTAAAATATACAAATCGATATGATATAATAATTTGATATTGCAGGAGAGGAAGTATAAATCTATTTTTGATGTTGGATGGTTATGTAAAATTTAAATTATATATAATATAATAATATATAGCTCGAGTGAATTCAATTATTTTGATTTTAATAGTTATTATAATATCGAGAAAGAAAAAAATTTTTTAGTGTAATAAAGGTCCAAGTGGCTGGAAAACCAACCAATACAAATTAATATCAATATTTAATCTCAATACTGTAGTACACTGATGTTATGTAACGAATGTAAATATAAATATACGCGATATATGAATACCTAATAACAATTGAATTTATGAAATTAGCATCAAGCAGTAACGTTTGCACGAAATAATTCCAATTAATTGGACTTTGTTGTTTATCTGCATACTCAACAAAGGTATTTAAAAATTTATTCATTCAATTTTTAATTATTCCAATTAAATTTATTACTTTTTCATTCTTTTTCGGATTACTATTGTAATAAATTATTTAAAAAATTAAGAGTACAATATATAAAATCTCAAGGATTAATTTTCCTTATAAATAATAGTATAGGGTCTTGAGTACGTAGAGGGAAGTTACCCATTAAATCAAGGACGTTTGATTTTACGGTCAAACAAATTTATTAGTATCTAATCACTATTCATAGCAATAACCAATAGCAATATCATTATCATTGGTGGAAAAAAATAATAAAGAAATAAATAATTGTAATAATAAACATATCTACTTGGTTATATAGATAGTTTATTGAAGGATTAATATTCATAAAACGTTTAATGCAGTTTGGTTGCTGCGGGCTATATAATATAAGTAAAGAGACTCCTGTCGTCCTGTCGAATGAAAACAGTGGTTCACAACATCCTATAAGTAATCTAAATGCATGCGATCAAATGATCTGTGTTATTAACATAGACCTTGCTCCACGATCACCCGTGTTATTCCACCCTGTTGGCAGGGGTCGCCTCAACAAGCCCCCAGCCTTAAATTGTTCGTGATCACGCCAACTTTACTTCATTTTCTTTTTCTTTCACTCTCTTATACTGTCTTCGTTTTACTTTGGTTAAAAATAACAATCATTTTAAAAATTCTGTCTACGTTATTATTCAATGAATTGTGTTAATTTTTCATTCATTGATCCTTTCCCTATTTAATTGAATCCCTCCAGAGTGTTTTTTTTTTTTTTTCCCAGTGAAAAATTTAACGTCAAAAATAAAAAAAATATTTAATAATTGTGTACTCTATCATGAGTTTGCTTTTGGCAGTTTGTATTACATGTAAAAATGAAATGAAAATAAAATATCATTTAACTGAAAACAAATAAATTTTTGAATGATATGAAAAGCAATGAGAGCAAGTTTTGTAAATTATATTCTACTCTCTTAAAAGAAATCAGTGGAATTTCACTGGTTCACCAGTGGAGGTCACTGATTTCAACCAGTCAATGCAATTTCACTGGTGAATCAGTGAATAAAATATCTGCGCGCATGCGCGCTGGTATGTCCACTGGTTGAACCAGTGAAATTCCACTGATTTTTTTTAATTAAGAGAATACACTGTTGGTATCATCACATATCTACGCAACTATAAAATACGCCCGATTTGTGGAAACTCGAAGCATATTATTCCCCACCGTAACATTATATTTATAAATATAATTTTATCTCTGGATAAATATTTTATAAAATAATAAACAATCTGAGGAAAATATGATGAGTGATGAGCCTAGAGGCAAAATATTTAAAAAAATAAATATAAATGTAAATAATACTCACCAAAACGTAAACTGCGAAAGGCATAACCACAACCGCAACAAGTAAATCAGCGAGGGCTAGACTAACAATAAAGTAATTGGTAACTGTTTGTAAAGTGCGTTCTCTAAATACGGCGAGTATTACGAGTACATTTCCGAATAAAGTGAGACAAGGTACGATAACGAGTATCAAAGCCCACCAATTATTAACATCGGACTCTTGATCTTCAGAACCACTGCACTGACCACCCACGGAGACAACACTCCCACCCGGTATTACCCCGATTGTTTGATTTATTGACGAGAGAGATGACAAAGTTGATAGAGACAGGCAACTGGCGTTAACTGTACCAGTCAGATTGAGACCAGCAACGACACCTCCCTCGTAGTAGCTGCTCAAATTCCCAAACCCACTGTAATTCAACCTGTTTATATAGTCATTTAGATCGCTGAATACAAACAGGTCGGATATTGAGGTATAGTTATCCGTTATCGAGCTACTTAAATTACTTGCACCCCCTCCACCACCTCCACTTTCACCATCTCCACCGTTAATTTTACTGCCATTTATTATAATATTATTGGTGGTTGTCGAGGTTATTAATCCAGAATCATTGCTCCACCCGATTCCAATTCCAAATTCAATCCCAGATAATCCACTTCCTCCATTCTCTTCTCCATAGACTTTATTTTTGGTAAATTCACCGGCTCCAGTTGTTAGCAGCTCTGGGAGTCCACTTGAAGAAGTAGTTGCCGATAAGTCTGCTATTGGATTGTCGGGGTACGGATTCTCTAGGTGCTCGTAAGATATGTTCCCCCCATCTGTCATTGAATAACTTTTGGCTAAGCGTCTTCCCATATCTTTATTAATTAAGCCTTTATCTAAGACTATCAATCATACCAATCATCAATCACCAATTGACTTTTTTATTCTGCTTTGATTCAACTGATTTATTTATTTCAATCACGAAATCTTGGAAGGCTTTGCCCAAAATTTACCATCTCGACTCTTGATTTTTATCATAATAATTTTATTGAATTTATTATCCTATCCGATCCGGTATTTTGGAGATTGATATCCAGCTGGAAAGTGTCGACTGCCGAGGGTATCTGGAACTTAAGGGAGAACATTTATCAGTAGCTCTACAACACATCTTTATCTTTTTTTTTTTTTTTTTTTTTTTTTTATATTTTATGTATATAAAAAACATCCTCATTTTCAAGGGATTTTCCCATTTATATTATAAATAAGATAAAAATACTGTTAACAAACAAAATCCGTAAATAATAATAATATATACATTTATAAAGATGATATAAATGATGGAATTTGGTGGATACAGTTTGTTGCATGAAATTTTTAAAAATCCTCACTTATTTAAGTGCTTTTGTTTGTTATCGTGACTGTAGGTTGTAGATACCAGTGTCTTATCATGACTTTCGGCTTTCAGTAAGTACTCTCTTGAGAGAAAATATTATTTCTACGATCTACTGTGCTTTTCATATATATTCATATTTTATCTACACGCTCTTTCAGCAACTCAATACCTTTTTTTTTTTTTTTTTTTTTTTTTTTTTTTTTCTGATACATTTTGAAACGTGTTTTGAAACCTACCGAAAACTGAGATATACATGCACAACGACGTTATTTTCCTATTACGCAATTGAAATGTTACCTTTTTATTTTATTAATTTTTTTTTGTTCTTCAAAACAAAATAATACCAGGAAGAAGATATGTTTTGTACGTATTTATATTTATGTTTTCTCTTTTATTCGTGAATATTTATTATATTTGTAATGGATAAATTTTTTTTTATCTATAGTAATATTCATTATATAGTTTTGTTTTACAAATGGTAAACACAGACACATATGCACATAGAGAAATACATGTAATGGTATTTTATTTGACGACGTCTTTCTATCTCATTTAGATTTTTTATATTCCATTCAGAACGAAAAATTTAACCAGAGACCCAACAAACCGTTTTCAACAAATGAAATTCAATTCAAAGGTATACTACATATACTTTTTACTGTATACACTGGATATTCAACATACGTTCACGGAATATTAATAACGCTCCAGTGTAAATAAAATTTGTGTCTACGTGATGAAAAAAAAAAAAAAAAAAAAACAATGATAATAATAATAATAATAATAATAATAATAAGTTTATGTATCTATGTATAAATTATAAAACGTGATTGATTAAAAGTCTGTTAAAGTGGTGAGTGAAATTTTCCTTGGACTTTTTATGCATTATACGGTGACAAGTGGAAATAATAATAAAAAAGTGAGAGAACGTTTTTTATTTTTTATTTACCCCTTTGATGTACTTTCAGCTGATGCTACCGTCCGTGTGATATTACGCTCCTTTGATAACAGAGACCCACCAGACCAGGTATTTTACTAGAACGACATTCTTTCGTTCTGAGAATCCCAACCAGTCTGCCTAACAGTGTCCTTCTCGCTCCCACCCTCCCTTGCTAAACCTTTGCTCTAAATACCTTTGTCCTCACTCCATCAAATTAAATATTCATTTTCATTTTTATAAACAAATAATTAATACATCATCATTATTATTCGATAATATTGTAAAAATTAAACTCTCTATTTTGATAAAATAAATAAATGATGTATCTTTCTTTATTCAGTACGTTCGATTCCGAGTACAACTTTAATTCGATCGCATAAAAAATTTACTACTTCAATTTGTTTCAGATATTACCGTGGATGTACACCAAAAAGCTATAATATACTTGATGCTAGTAATACTACTATTTTCTCTTTTAACGCAACTTTTTATTACTTAACTTCATTTTACAACCATCACTCTCTTTCTCTCTCTCTATCAATATCTTTATGTATTTATTCAATTATATACTGATGACTAACATAATATTTTTTTTTTTTAGTTAATAAAAAATTTTTATACTGCAACTCACGAAATAATTATTTTTTAATTTCATGTCATAGAAGAATTAAGAAAAATTACATTGAGTATTAAAATTTAATTATTTAATATTTAATCTACTGGAAGTTGAAATAATTTTTTTATTCATTTTAAAGCACTTTCCGTCTTATTGTTCTGCTAAGAGCTTTTTGTATTATTCTCTTAAGTAAACAGCAAGATTCTAATCATATTAATAAAGTCCTTGAAAATAAAATAAAAAATTTATTAAACCATAAGAACTGGGCTTTATTAAAATTCAAATTAAAGTTTTATTTATTGAAATCTTGAAATGAAATAATTAAATAATTATTTATTTGATACATTGTCGAGTTAAAAATATTAATAATTGAGATAAAAATGTGAAACTCACTAGGGAATCAACATAAATAATAAAAAAAAAAACAATTAAAATTGAAACAAATCCACGATAAGATCAAGATGATATTTAAAATGTGTATTAGGGGCTTGTCAGCGAGTGTGCTTCGTGTGTTTAACAACACGCTATATAATGATACATAACACTGCAACAGTGTTATATATGTATATATATATATATATATATATATATATATATGTATATATATATATAAG